TTTTTTAAAGAGACAGTGAGTGCCACAGAAGCCACCACACACACACACACACACACACACACACACACACACACACACAAAAGATTCCCAACCTCTGACTCAGAGGCACAGGCAGCTTCTCTTGTACTTATACAATACAGACCCATAGCATTTCTAGTTCTAGAACTTCTTCATTGTTAATATATTATTACTGTGTTATTGTTACTGTATTGTTATTGTATTATTATTTGTATTAATAGCATATTTTATCACTGTTAACTGCTCTTTATTAGTTCACTAAATGAATCTGGTAATGGCACTTAGATGTATGATTATGTTGGCAGGTTTTGTTTGGCAAATTGGATCAGAGTAGCAAATTCAGCTATTGTGTGCATGGCCTCAAAAGTCAGGAAGTGTTTTCCTCCTAATACATTATCAACCATTTGTTGTTGGCTAGGAGCTTGTAATATGGCTTGGGTAATGCAGGCCAGCAAGGTGAGTTGACAAACTATAATCTCATGGTAGTACATTTAGGGAAAATGTTCATTAGTAACTAGTACATACTTGAAAGCAGGTTTAGGAATATGCTGTTAATTCTTGTTTGAATGAAGAGGATTATGGGATTTTGAATTATGTTTGGTTATCTTTCATAGACATCTTAAAGAGATTCAGGACCTGCAGAGTCGCCAGAAGCATGAAATTGAATCTTTGTATACCAAACTGGGCAAGGTGCCCCCTGCTGTTATTATTCCCCCAGCTGCTCCCCTTTCAGGGAGAAGACGACGACCCACTAAAAGCAAAGGCAGCAAATCTAGTCGAAGCAGTTCCTTGGGGAATAAAAGCCCCCAGCTTTCAGGTAAAAAGCCATGGACTAGGTCAGCCACAGCTGTCCTAATCTTTTGTTTCTGTCTCCATCTGTATGTGACCTGCTGAACGTTTGTTATTTTTGTTAAATTTCAAAGGAATTTGGCTCTCCTGATATTTTTGTTTCCTTGACTGCTGGACTTACATTTATTGTACCTCTTTTTGAGCTTATACAAGTAGACTTAGTGAATACAATGGCTTATTCCATTATAATCCATATTGCTATCTACTGGTAATCTTTATTTATGGTTATTCTTAAGGATAGACATTTAGCTTTGCCTGTTAACTCATATAACTCACATTTAACCAAACTCTTGGCAGTTGGAAGAAAATACATTATTCTCTGTTCAGTAAAACTTGAGTAGATTCTTTCTTTTAATGGATGACTTAGTCATAATTGTAACTTAGATTAATGTAATTGTCATATAGATATTTGTGTGTATGTCTAATTGGTAACTTCTTGATTAAGGTTTTTATTTCATTTATGTTGGGTTAAAGAACTTGCTGGTCATTGGTCAGGCACGGTGGCTCACGCCTGGAATCCCAGAACTTTGGGAGGCCGAGGCAGGTGGATCATGAGGTCAGGAGATTGAGACCATCCTGACTAACATGGTGAAAACCCGTCTCTACTAAAAATACACAAAATTAGCAGGGCATGGTGGCGGGCGCCTGTAGTCCCAGCTA